AGGTAGACAACGTCCACAGCCTTCCCCTTGTACGCCAAGCAGGTCACCTCATCGTAGAAGGAAATAAGATCAGTCAAGCAGGACCTGCACTTCCTGAACCCGTGCTGACTGGGCCTGATTGCTTGGTTGTCCTGCAACTTGGAGCAACCTGATTAAATAGGCAGGGTCCTTGCCTGTGTCAGGAAAGATGATATTGCATTTCACAGCGAGGAAATGGAGCTGGAGGAGGAGAAACTGAGCTCAGCTAGGGAGACAGGGTTGCCCCACCAGAAAGGCAGTGTGGACCTCATATCCCATATATGAGACCTTCCTTCATCAAATGTGTCTGTGACAAATAGCTCTCGCTTCCCTCCGCATCCTCAGAGACATCCTTACAAAATGATGTATTGCTCCTCCGCTTCGCAGGTTTGGGTTTTTTCTTTTTGTAAGGAAATAGTTTGTAAATCTCCTTCTCTGAAAGGCAGAGGTTTGAATTTATGCTCCTGAAGCCCCTTTGAAGCTCTGCAGGTGCTGGCGAGGTAGATATTATTGTGCATGTTCAGAAGTTGTCAAGGGGAAGAGGCAGAAGAGTAATCTGTGTTGGCTGCTGCGTCGCCGGGGATGGCGGCTCCCATAAATCTCTTTATTCACTTCACCGACGGGCTCTGAGCGTCCCACGTTTACGGAGCAACGCCGGGTCAGGTGCTCCCAAATCGTCTCCATTGAGAGACGAGGCCCCAAAATAATGGATGAGTCACTGCGTGTGGTGGGACGGGTCTTATCAGCAGCAACGCAGTTAACGGCAAGGATGGGGAGCGGGGACCCAAACCTGTCGTGCAGGATTAATGAGTGAAGCGGAGGAAAAAGGGGGGAATCCACAGCAAAACTGCTCTGTTTGTGTCAAGTATTGAAATTTATGAAGCTCTGTGCCTGTGCAGAGCTTCACTCTGTTCTCAAAGGCTGTGCCAACCTTCTTTCCCCAAATTACCCCTCCTCTTGATCTCTTGGTCCCTGTGGCCTGTCCTGCAAGAAGCAATTGGCTTTCTAGAGTGTTGTGCTTGGGTTTTAAGGGGATTTGGAGCCTCTCATTCTCAGACAAGGTGCAAATTACCATCACCCACATCCCTTCTGGGCATGTCTTGGAGATCAAGAGGTTTTTGTCATCTTCTTTACTTGGTGAAATATCCAGAAACCTCGGGCACACATCAGCCGCAGTGGTGGCAGTCGTTTTCTGGGCTGTGAGCTGCTGTGACTCCAGAGACGAATGCTTTCTGGGAGATGAATACGTGGGCTTTTGAGTGAGCTACATTGGGAAACGCGCTCAGGAAATGGGGTTTTGTCGTAATTTGGTCTTGAAGCGCATCCCTGCTCTGCCTTCGCAAGCCCTGGGGCTAACGTGGCACAGCCAGAAAACCAGAAACTTCAAGAACTATAAATGTTAAAAAGCCACACTGTAAAGAAGTGTTAATACTTTACTACGCACTTATAGGAGGGAATAGCTGTTTGCCTTGTCCTTTCGCTGTATATAAGTACATATATCTTTTATAACAGGTTATGACTGCCAGCAAGTGTTTCCAATTAAATTTGTGATCTCTCCCCTCTACAGGCTGCTGATTTATGGCAAATACTGCAGCCACATGGAGTACGCCCAGAACACACTCAACCACCTCCTCGCCAACCGGGAGGACGTTCGGCAGAAGGTGGAGGTGAGCATACAGGGGAATAAAAAAGCCAAAAATCACTAATTCCTCTTTGAGTTGTGCAGTGAGAGCTTCCCAAGCCAGGAGATGAGTGACTTTCCAAGGTCACACGCGGCATCGGGGACAGTCAGAGGCGCAGCCAAGTCCCCAGGCGAGCGCCAGGATTACTGCCCTGCCCTCCTTCCCCAGCGTAAAGGCTTAGTGTAAATGGGGGCTGATCCAGATATTAAGTAAATCAAAGGAGCCCCGGAAGGGATGCATTGTTTGAGCTGCTGTTTTTACCCAGCTTTAATTCCTGCTTTGGTCTTGATGCTAATCGGAATTTGCTGGGCTGTCTGTGCACGTTACCTCATTTTCTGCAAACGCGCTTTGATTCCCCATGCAAAAGTAGCAACTCAATTCAGGGATGAAACCGCATTTAATAGTTCTTTTAAAGCTGGATTGTGCATCAAGCCTTCGTGATCTGAACGGCATCGTCTGTTGAAGGGCCGGTTGCTGTAGCATCCGTTTTCTCCCGTGCTTTTCCTTTCCCTCCTTTCATCGTGGCAGCTCCACTCATCCCGGGCAGGCACGCAGGGCACCTTGGCCAGAGTCGCATATCTCAGTGGGTCTGGGTGACGGTAACAGTCACAAAACTTCCCACAACCACATTAGCTCATCTTAATGACTTAATGCTTATCAGCAAAGCCACAGCGACTGCGTGCTTGCTGCCAGCCCCTCGCAAATAAAATGCATTAGTTCAGACCATCAAGAAGGAGAGTTAAGCTAATGCGTTTATTTGACATTTCCCGAGGTCTGAGAGCAATCGTGAGCTCTCCTAATGAGCAGTATCTCATTAAGCTGGAGGAGCTCAGGTGCATGAGAACATCTGTATTTTAGGGTCCAGTGTTTTATTCCTCAGTAACCTCTGCGGTGCAAGCCCCGGCTCTGGCTGGGTGCATGCAGGGACCGCAATCCATTGCTCATCCAAACTGAGTTTACAGAAGCAAAATGTAACAGCCATGGGACATTGGAGGCTTTTTCTGGGGGAGGGAGGCGTTGTTTTCCCCCAGCTGCTTCACCACAGATGTATTAATTTCTTTAATAGGAATGCACACTAAAGGTTCAGGAGGGGAAATTTAAATTGCAAGATCTGCTGGTGGTTCCAATGCAAAGAGTTTTGAAATATCATCTCCTGTTAAAAGTAAGTGTTTCATCATTGGCGCTTCTCTCCGTCTGCCATCCTCGCTGTAGCATCTCTTGGCTTTTACAGTGAATCATTGCCAAATGCGGAGTGAGGGGTTGTTTCTTTCCCCTTTCAAATGAAATAATTACTAGAGCTACTTAACATGACATAATATTTGTGCCATCTCTTAAAGTACAGTGACCTAGGGTAATTCTGCACTTGTTAGCCACAAGAGGCAGTTAATGAATATAAAATAAGCTTGCATATAATCTGATTATGTGTGAAATTCCTCCCGTCAGCTCCATGTAACAGATCTCTCTTGGCGTGTTCCCACAGCCGCCCACCCGAGCATCGGAGCCTGCCCGCTGCAGGCAGGGTGCAGGCAGCTTCTTTATTTTCTTTTTTTATTTACACAAACTCTTTATGAATTTCTGTGTGTGTCAGGAGCTGCTCAGCCATTCATCGGACCGCCCAGAGAAGGAGCAGCTGAAGGAGGCTCTGGAGGCGATGCAGGTACAGGTGGATGAGAGTGGTGATGGGCTCAGGGTGGGACCCCTCTGTCTCTGTAAAACACAAACTTAGATGGAGAAACCACCCAACGTTGCGAGGGAAAGCAGCATCTCCTCCTTTGGGCCATGCGCCTGTGTATTGATTGCCATTTGATGCGATTGCTTCGCAGCAGATCCAGAGTCATGGCTGTTATCTTCCTCCTCAAGCAGCTGGGGAAGCTGATATTTGTTGACAAGTTACGGCTTTTCACTAATTCCTGTTGTGGGTAAAGAGGCCGTGCCAGATTCAGCTCTCGTTTGTGCGAGGAGGGATCTGGAGGAGCTCCAGCCCTATCAGCAACTCGTGGAGTATTGCAGGAATGGGAGCCCATGTCTGTGCATTGCCTGCATGCTGTGATCCAGGCACTGCTTGGGATCCTTTTATCCAAGTATTACCTTTTATTTATTAAAGGGAAAATGCTCTTTCAGCAAATGAATAGTCCTGGTGTCAAAATTTTGCTGTGCTTAAAGTTTTTTTGAGCTTTCAGCTGAAACCCCCAAGATCTCAGGAAAACCATAAGCACTAAAAAATAAAATCATCCAAATGTTTTCCAACTTGGATGCATCCTCCCCCGCACACTCACACTGCGGGACCACCGTCAGCAAAATCTGACTTGGGGATGTTCATTAACTCTGGGTTTTCTCTCTGGAGGAATCTGCAGGATTCATCCCTGGGTTCACTCCCATGTTCCTAGGTCACTTTATTTTCTATCTCTGAGCCACAGCTTTTGTACCGACACCACATTTCCCAGCTCTTACATAAGTTGAGTGACCTTTCCAGCCATTATCCCTGCGAGCTGGGGAATCCAGAGCCGATATGTGGGTCGCTTTAAAGTTAAGGTTGTTTGAAGGACGTTGCGTTCACAGCCGCTGCTGCACAACACATCGCCATGGCCTCAAGTGAATGCTAAACCCAGTGACAGTTGTTGAACCCTGCTTATGGCCTCATAATACGGCCCCCACCGATGCCACTGCTAATAAATAAATGTATATATGCTCCAGCTGCACTGCAGACTCAGCATTTTTGCATTAAGCTGCCCACAGCCATCAGTGAGGTTTCTCTGTTTCATCCCCAGGAGAGCGCAGATGCAGTTCAGAGAGTGCTGGGCTCTGCAGGGCAATAGGAAGCTGTACAGTTTGGTTTTAATGGATCTGTAAACCAAGGCTTAACTTACAAGTGGTGTTTTCTGTTGCCAATGCAGCCTTTCTGTCTGCTGTGCGGGTGGGCGGCAGACGTTTCTGCCAGTGGGGGCGACAGCCGTGCAGGGGGCGAATATCTGCAGCCAGAGCTATGTTCCCCAAAGGGATTCACCTCCCTTTTGTTTTGTGTAAAGCAGGGGCAGGATTTGCACAACAGACATTGCACATGGGATATTTGGTGCAGGTACCAATCCCTCCACCTGAGTGCACACAACTGGCGATGGTGGGGATAAGGCAGGTTCCCAGTTAAATCCCGCAGCCCCAGTTTGCACGTTGCTGTTTCAAGTCATGGTCAATCCTGGGATTTTATTTCCCGTTTGTGTAGGAAATGGCCTGTTCAGCAGCGGGAGCAAAAGCTTGACCGTGATAGAGGGTACCGCTTCTTAAGGCTTTTGGTTTTGTCATTCTTCATAACCATCCCTGCCACCAGCCCGGTGTGGGGTATTTTGTGATGTTATGATTATTGTCACATAGATTTGTGATTTTCATCTGTGATTAACCCTTCTTATGTTGGGAAGCTGGGGAAGGTCTGACCCAAAGGGGATGTCTTAAAAAATGTCATATTGAGATTTAATCCACGTTGACAAGAGCTATTGTTGAGGGCAAGGAGGCAGGGAGCAGATAAGAAGCAAACAGGCACAGCAAGTACACTCTGAGTAAGTTGTTTTAGTGGAAGGAATAGGCTTCCTTCTCTTTGATGGGTCAAAATTTGGGTAAGCAGGGAATTTTTCAGGACAGAACAAGCTCCATCAAGTGTCTCCTTGTTCTACAACATAGCTTTTGTGTGGTGGGAGATGCTGGGGGCCCAGATTGGACATGGGGATGTCCTGGGTGTCCCCGGGCAGGGCAGGGCGTGAGCTCACAGGTTTTGTATCCAGGGGCATGGGGAAAATTACAGTGATGGGGGATGGATGCAGCAGGGGCACAGGCACCAAGGCAGGGGATGCTCTCACCGGATAAAGCCATGGATTGGGTTTGCTGTGCTGCATTGGGTTCGTGCATTGCCCTCTTCTGGGAAATCATAAAAATTGCAGCAACTTCCTGGTTCAGCA